ACAGACGGTACAGTTATGTTCAATGCAACATTATTTGCCCTTGTAAGAACATCTTTAAGGATAAAAACTGAGGGCAATATTGATACTGCCAATGAGGAATTAAGAGCAGTCATCAAGAAAATCTGGAAGCGTACAAATCCCAAACTTCTAGACCAAGTTGTACCACCAGTTGGAGGTACTGTTTGGAGTATATATATTATTCTCTATCAGAAACTAGTATCTTTGATTCTTAATTTTGACTGATATTATGGTATGATATTGGCCAGAAAATAATGTTTTATACATTCCTATTTTTTTCCCAACTAGTTGAAGATGATGTGACTGTGGGCAAATTTTACGCTACCTACCTCATCCAGGACTACTTCAGACGCTTTAAGAAGAAGAAGATGGAGATCAAAGAACAAATTGATAAGGAGTCTGCAAACACTGTTACACTTCAGGCTGGTGAGTCTGATGTTCTATGTCTGTGGTTATTTTTCTTAATAAACTTATGAAACGAATAAGATTAAATTTTAGAGTGTAGTTCATACATTTTAATTTTGTATCAAATATTCTTTATACTGTTATCCATACTTAAATAAAAAAGAGACATATTTCAATGTATATTTTTTGTATAGAGAAGATTGTAACATTAAGTTGTAGAATATATATTTTCTATCATTTATGGGTGTTTACTAACTGAAAATGGTCATTTTATTCGCACTATCCATAAAGATTTATGTTGATTTTGGTTACCTGTATTTAGGCATCATGCAGTTGGTAGCAGTAGAAATTAGTTAATTACTTTGATTTAATTGGATGTACTATTTATACATTCTCCAGATTTCTAGGATCTTGAGGTAAATGTCATATCTTCTTTTCCAAGGGTGTATTTTATATATACATGTTTCATGCAGGCCTGAGAACACTACATGAAGCTGGTCCCGAGTTGAAACGTGCCATATCGGGCAACTTAGATGAGATGCGTGATGATGATATTCCCACGCATAGGGTAAGTAACATATATTTAGTGTTATGTAAACTTATCATAAACCCAAAAATTTAGCAAGCAGATTTAAACCAACCAGGAACAGGGGTAGCATTACTGATTTAATGACAGGAACAGTGTATTATGCAGTGAACCATGGAACTTGACTTGTTTTTCAGGTATATAACACTAGTGGTGATTGGTCTCGCCAGCAGGTAAGGTTGTTACAAAGATTCCATCCATAGGAATCACGATTTTAATGCATTTTATAAGTGAAATGAAGTATGACTTTTGTAATAATATGTTTTTTTTTTTTTTTGCAGTAGAAGCTTATCACTGCACAACTTATGGGAGGGTTTATTCCCCTTTCTTATTTATATCAACTCATATCATTTGGAACTTGAATGCTCAGCCATACTGCTTTTGGCTGAGAAATGATGTAACTATTTTATAATCAAAATTAGTTAATGATAGCTTTACCAGCTATCAAAAGCTGAATGTGTGGCATTATTTTAATTCATTTCAATGGTACTTGCAAACATTTAAAGAGGAAATTACAGAAATTATATTATAAGCTACCAAATTTTCTCAGTACACGAATTTCAAAGATTAACATGCAATGGCGTTCCAAATTATCTGAGGCACTTTTTGGATTATCAAACAGGAGTTTGGCAGTACAAACAAAAGAACAAACGCACTAAATGTACACAGAAAATGCTGTTTTGTATGCCAAGCAGATTTATATAGTAATCAGGTTTCATATTGTTACTGATCAGTACAAATGAAGAGTTATTGAAACTGTTTGATAATTCATGTATCAAACAGAAGGCTCTCTTAAGTCCACAATCTTCTCTCTTCAGCATCTTCAAAAAAGGTAGATTTGTTGATACCCTTTGCTTTCCTACATGCTGTATCTGTCCATATTGTTAAAAGCCAAGTTAGTGCACTTTTACAAAGTTGTGTAAAGAGGAAATGATGCAAAGGGAGTAAATGAAGTAATTGTTTTAACCTTTAAAGGACAAAACACAGAAATTGTCATTCTCAGATTTGTGTACACACTAGACAAACCACAGCAGAAGTGACCCTCTCCAAAATAGTCCTGACTCTCCATATTAGAGATATGCACAATGAAATTATCTGAGCTGCAATAATTGTGCACTCGTTTGTACTCAAGAACCTCAAATTTTTATCGTCCTTTAAGGGTTATGGGAGAAAGAGCAAGGTGAGCAAGACACAAAGGAAGGAATGAGTGAAAAGTGAATATAAGTCAAGAGTGACATTAAAGTGAATGTAAGAAGGGGAGACTGGAAGATAAAAAAGAGAGATATAGAGCAATAAGATGAAAAACAGGACTGGAGAGCAGAAAGAAAAAGAGAAAGGGAGAGAAAACTGTTTGAATATAAAGAGACAGAATGAGAAGAGAAAAAGTGATGATGAAAGAGAGGTAGGCATGGAAGATTAATTGATATAGTAGAGGATAAGAGGGAAATAGACAAAGGGAAGAAAGAGAAAGAATGGGGAGATAGAATGTTTGTCTAAAGCAAGAATAAGAGAGAAAGAAAGACAGAGACAGAGAATGAAGGATGAGAGTGATAGGCTTCGAAAACAAAAGAAATTCAAATAGAGGAAAGTGGGAGCTTGGAGTGGAAGAGAGAAACAGTAAAGTATACCCTTCACTAGCACAAGTATCATTGACCTTCCCTTTTGTGCCACTCACTACCACAGCTGTAAGATTTCTCCAGCTAATTCCCTTTACAGTCCCTTTCTCCATGGCTCTTTGGCACTCCTTGTAAAAGAGCGGATATAAAATTGTTGTTGATACAAGTGATAAAGGACCCATTGAAGAGGAATTATCACAGGACCAGAATACAAACAAACTGCTGGCTATCAATGGGATGAGAATAAAAGTTTCTATTATTGTCACAACAGTAGGTAGCCTGATGGTCATCAGGCCTACCTATACTTGTATCTCAGTATGGTAAATTTAGATGTCATTTGACAATTGTTATAAGGTTATTTTTTAGCCTTCCATACTAGGAAAAAATAAGAATGGTGATTAATAAGTATTGAATAATATCAAAATTAAGAAATGTTAGATACAAAATTTTATACAGCTATGAATCTAAATATTTCAGTGCATTAAGATATTAGGAAAATAGATTATTCATGTATACTCCAAGCAGACCATAGACAGGGTATCCACACTTGAATGCATGTATTCTATAATATTATGTAAATAATAATTGATTTATATGTGGAAGCAGTGTTAAATTCTAAAGGATGTTGGCACTAAATTTGTTTGAAAAGACAACCTTCATATTATCTTTTAGGTTTGTCCCTTGTCCCAAATGATAATTTAGAATTAGGACTATCAGGGAGATTGGTATGTTTTGTATGATTATTCCTTTTCCTGAAAATTTTACTTTTTGTATTATATCTGAACATTATGTGATATTGAAGTAGATGCATAGTTACTAAGGCTTTGGGAGAGTTATATAGAACTTTAAAGGATATGAACATGAACATGCATTATTTTCTGTGTAGTGGAAATTGCTGAGTATGCCAACTATTCCTTGCTATCACTTTACATTTATAAATACAAATTAAGTATGGTGCATAGTTTGAGTAAGTCAGCTGTTAAAGTATAGTAAACCTTAAGTACTAGAAAGTTGTAGACTTTTCATGTGCACTGGGATAGCTAATCGGAGGATATTTTAGTATAAAGTGAGATATAAGGAATTGTATCCAAGAATAATGGAGAGGAACTAGATTCAGTCAGAAGAACAAAAAGTTATATCTAGCCTTGTGCAAGGCTAGATATAACTATGATAGTCCAGTCCTTATAGACAACAGCCAGTACAGCAGTCTGCCAAAGAATCACATTTTGAATTGATTTTTTTTCAAGATAATTGTTATAATCAAGGGCACCACAAATATTTTGGTGAAGAAAAATATGCCAAGCTGGATTTGTGGTCTGCACTGTAAAGTATTTGCAACTTTAAAAAAATATATTTTAAAAAGATCATTATAACTCTAAAGAAGCACTCATATATTTGGGTCCTATTCTTAGTAATAACATGGCATTTGCAAAGGAAAGTTATACAGTCAGACAATATGAATAAATTATTAAGAGCCTATAAAAGTTATCAAATTATGGAGACACTGGTACCATCCCAACCCTTGCCCATCCGAGGTCTAATATTCTGGTTTTATGTAATTAGAAACCTTGTGTATATATTTATATATATATAAAGAAGTTACCCATGGTCACATCCTTATCAGTCCCTTCAACACCATAACTATAACAAAAGTGTCCTAGCTACACATTAACAATAACCTCCGGTGGTGATCTTCTAGCGTAACCACTCCTTGTTCGGCTCGGTCTGGTCATCTATGAGAGTCAAAAGCCTGCAACGAACCCGGTCCCTCCGTGTCAACACCGGACACCACGCTAAAGTAAGCGCACCACACAACCTGGCCCCGGACTCCTGCACGATACTTGTTATTTACACTTTAACACAGAGCAATGAGTTATCTCCTGCTGGAGCTTTATAAGTGTACACTGTACTCTCAGTGTTTATGAATGAGCCATTTAAGGTATTGGCAGGAACTCGGTAAACTATCAGAAAAAGTTGCATGGTTTTGGCAGTTGATACAGTTATAAATATTCATACACTTTTAAGGTATATAAGTAATAATCTGATTCTCTAGTGGAGGCATTGACTATAAAAGATGTATGTATATTTTTCTTAATGCTTTTGCATATTCTTCTTTGCCAAATCCATGTCATCAGGTTTTGCTTTACTTGAATCATCATCCACATTCAGTGCATATGCGTACGTAGAATTATGAAATATTTCCTTTTTAATCATATTTTGGTCTTTAGGTAAATTCATTCATACATATGTAATGATAGCCTTTATTGAGTTAAATATGAAAAAGGTACTATGTTTTATGCACACAAAATGGATGATATAAAGGAGAGAGCATTTTAGACTTTCTATAGTTGCTTGAAGATAGACATTAGAGTATC